ACGGATATCTAGGGCATTGTGCTACTGTGTTTGAAGACTTTAGAAGTTTTTTTTTTTTTAAATATAGATCTATTATTCCTTATTAACAGTTCAGAAATTTAAGAGCACTTAGAAAAACAATTCTTTAATATTTTCCTTACAGTCAAAGTTAACTGGCCAAATACTCTAAAATGAGCTCATGTGAATATAATCGTGGTCACTACTTATTCTACATCATGGGAATGTTCACACATTATACTTCAGAAAAATCGTTGAATACCAAGTAATGTTTCCAAGACTGTATGGGCTTTTTAACGTATAAAAATTCTAAATTTTAGGAGTTTCAGATGATTGCTTGTGGGAGAGTGTGACTGTCCTACTTTTATCATTATTGGTACCTGAAGCAAACTTCCTTACATGTGTTAGTTTTCTACTTCCCCAAGCATAACTTTTTATAACATTCTCAACATGTAACCTGTGTACTCTACATCAGGAACATTTTTATAGATGTGCTTTGTATCTATGGTAGAAATTGTAAATAAGATAAGAATTTGTGCTTTCTTGTAGTTTCTAATCATACGTTTAATGTATTTGACTTTTTCTCATTAGGTCACATTATATATATATATATATATATATATATATATATATATAACAAAGATTTGTGACTACATGAATAAGTATAGAAAATTATTAAAAAGATAAGGATTGTTCACAACATTGCTGATGGAATACTATGTATGACTTGCTCTTTTAAAAATTTTTGTTGCACTTGATCATATTTTACTATGTGAATGCATAGACACAAATACATACATATATTTCAGTTAAGATAACTGTATAGTTACATGTATATTTTCCTTATTTTTGTGACTCAATAAACTCTATAAAATCCTATTTTATATTAGACTTCACTTCCTGAAGGAAACTTTTAATTCTCCTTCAAAATGCATAATTTATCTTCTTTTTATATGTGCTTGAACTTACCACCTTACACAGTGAATGTAGTAATTTATTTGTTCTCTCCACCTCTATCAGATGCTTGAAATGAGACCTGTCTTTTGTACTCTGCTTAATACTTATAAAATATATTACCTAGTAAATACTTCTTAATTGTTAATGTGGGGTTGTATGGGTGAAATAAATGTATTTAATAATATTTTATCATAATTTATAGTTCTATTTACTACTATTTAACATTTCAGTAACTCGATATATATTTGTATAAATATATATTTGATAAAACCACTGATTATATTCTTAAGTTCCTGTAAATATAAATTATTAAATTTGGAAAAAGAAAAATAGTTTTGAATCTAATATTGACTGAATTGTAGGACTAAGCATCATATGGTCTGGAGTTACATTCAATCTCTGAAAACTTTGCAACTCTATATATTTGGGAACTTGTTAAATGCTTTGGAAAACTTTAATATTCTAATGTTCAGAATTAGAGGAGATAATAAAATCTATTTTCTGTGCTCCTGAGAAAGTTAGCGTTAAGAGAAGTAAACAGCTCAGTGCTTGGCATCTTGTAAATGCTGAATGTGTCTTATTAGTTTTCAAGTCACAACTATGTAAATATTATTTATATAGTTAACTGCATTTTAACACACTTTTCTATTGTTACTTCCTTAGGCAAATGTTCCCATCCAAAGACTATTTATGTGCTGCAATTAAGTAAAACTGAGAGCTATCATTGTACTCAATTATTATTTTAATTCAATTATTTGTGTGACAAAATATTAAACATATATTTTAAATATGTTATTCTTTCTTACAGTATTATTTGACTAGTGCATTTGTTTTGCTTAATGTTCTGATATTTTCTTAATCACATGCACATATATGGTGCATTGGAGTGCATCTTTTACTTTTTCCTGTTGTGCTCATTAATTTATTGAACAAATTATACAATTTTACATCTGTTTAATAAATTTTATGATTATATTGACTGTTTTGATTTATTTATATCCCACATTTTCCAGTACATTATCATTATTTTGACAATTTCCCAAAATGTTATTCCAAACTCAATGAGAAATTAATGAGAAACTTAACGAGAAATGTGTCATAATTCTACAAAGACTAAAAATTTTTTATTGTATTCACCCTTCTGATCCAGAAGCAAAATTTATTGTCACTTTATGACTTAGTCATTTCTGCGTGAATCAGATTTGAATTTTTGAGTTTAGGTGAACACCAAAAGAAGTATATACAATGTTTCTCATATCTTTTATGCTGATGTTTGCATCTTCATTGATTTGATAGCAAACCATATTTTGAAGGCCAATTGATTCAAAATTACTAATTATGCCTCATGATTTGGACAGTAGCATTTCCTATTATTCTAGATGCTCATTGCCCTTGTAATTTATTATCACATTTAAAGCTGTCAAAGTTAGTTTTGGGGGGTTTTGGTCCAGCTGTCTCCCTCAAATAAGTTAGGAAATGTGTCAGTCTACTAGCCACATGTCAATTTATAAGCACTGTGGAAGTACTAGTGCTACGCCAATAATTTCAGTTTGTACAAACTTTTAGAAACATTGAGAACAAAAAACAGCAGGAAGAACAGACTTGAACTAAGTACTATAACAAATTTTGATTCATTAAGAAAGAACAAAAAGAGGCAATCAAGTTCAATCCTACATAACTTGTTAGATGGTTATCTACTTAGCATAAGCTCTTGAAAAATGTATTTGAATTCACCTGGAAACATAAAATATACGATTATTTAGTCAACAGAGAAAAACTTTTTCAAAATTGTTATTTGTAACAGAAATAATATTAATTGTTCAACTTATGCAAGCAGTAACACATTCAGAATTATTAGTAATAGTTTTTCCTCAACTCACGTACAAAATGCTAAGGGATTGGCTTATTCTGAACACTACTTATACCTTTGTCTAGTAATAAATGGTCATAAATAAAAGACAAATCATAAAGAAAGGAATTTTATAAAACTTCATTTGAGGAACCCAATCATCATTAGATGTTTATCTTTTAAAAATATGGAGTCGTACATACATACACAATACTTTATATTACATATTATATGTTTTTACAATGTTAATATTATTTCTAGCTTGTTTAGTAAAATTGATTATATCATAATCAAAATGCTCAATACTCCAACAATCACAAAAACTATTAATTTATAACCAACATTTTATAGCACATAATCAAAATTAGCATTTCCTTTATTGTGCAGAAGTCATTGTCTTCCCTACTTGTTACTCACAACACAACAATCCCTCTTTTCCATATAGTAGATACTACTTCTTGCATCTCTTAAATATTTTCAAGAAAAAATAATGTTTTGTTAAAAAATGTCACACAGTTCACTATCAAAATTCAAGAGTACGAAAGCTCTAAGAGGTAAAATAAATCCTGTTCATTTCTATTTGATTACTAAGAAGAAAGCAAAGGAGACAATTAGTAACCACTCTTACTTGATGCTAGACTTTTACTAAGATAGAAAATCAGAAATTTGTACAAAGTTAACTGGCATTCCCCAAAAGCTACAGCAAAGCTCAGAAAGAAAATTGTCATTATACACTTTAACCTTCCACTTCTCTGTTACACATTATTAGGGACAGGACCTATATCCACATGTACAGTATTTAAGTTTTTGTTGTAAACTAAAATGTCCTTGGCAATGACTTCATTGCTGCACGTAATTGTTCCTATCGATACTCATGCCAGTTCTAGGTTTTCAGAACCGGAATTATGTACCTTGACCACAGGTTGTACTGAAAATAAAGATGACTAATGAAGATAATGAATAATTGATAAGATTTGCTTAGACTGGTCTTGTTTTCTTCCCTGACAGCTTGGTTGAACCGACCTTATATTTTTCCCCATAGGCCTACTTTAGACCCAGTTTCCCCAGAACTTTTTGCCGAATTTCCCTTGTTTTCACACAGTACACAATGGGGTTCATCAGAGGTGGCACTAGCAAGAATATGTCAGCAATGAGGATCATGGCCAGTGGAGACTCGTGCTTGACAAAGCGGTGCATGGATGCTAAAGCAATGAATGGCACATAGAAGATGAGGACAGCACAGATGTGGGAGGCGCAGGTGTTGAGAGCTTTGAGCCACTCCTTATAGGATCCAATTCCTATCACGGTCTTCAGGATGAATACATAGGACACAGCGATGAACACACTGTCTGACATCATGCACAGGACAACAAAGTACTGTGTTGTCAGAAGAGGCCAATTTCATGACATCCTGATGAAGGCAATAGGTGTGAGAAAGGTGGCTTTTCTTGCAGTATGTTAATCTTCTTAGAGTGAAAGGAAATGGAAGCACTAAGAGTATGCTTTTGATGAGAAATACCAGCCCTGTTTTGGCTACCCCTGTGCTAGTCAGAATAGAGTTATATCTCAAAGGGTTGCGTATGGCCAAAAAGCGGTCAAAAGACATGACTAGGAGCACTAAGGACTCCATATGTGTGAATCCATGGATAAAAACTCTTGTACACTGCAGGCTTTTGGGGAGATTCCTGTGGCATTGAACACAAAAATCCACGGCATAGTAGCAAGGGAAGAAAGGGACAGACCTACGTTAGAAACAGCCAACACAGAAAGGAAATACTACATTATTGCGTGGAGTGAGAGTGCGGTCCCAATCACAAGCAGGATGGTGCAGTTTCCCAGGATGGCCACCAGGTACATGAGGCAGATGGGAAGGGAGAGCCATCCGTGAACATGTTCCAGACCCGGGATTCCAATCAAGAAGAAAGTGGTGATCTCAATGGCGGAAGAATTGAGAATGTGCATGATGGATCAGTTCCAAAGTATTTAGGACACTTGGTGAAAGTGTTTATTCCCTTGCTTTTAGCATGTTTTTTTCCCAGAGAAATAAAGTACAATTTTGAACAATTTCAATGCCATGAAATAAAAGAATGCTTTTGTATTTGTTAAGGAAGTAAGCAACACAGTGCTTCTTCATTTGCCAAAAAAGTAGGCAAGAAGGTCAGATTAGGGTGCTAAGTCTCTTGAGACCTGATCCACCATGTTGAAAGTTTCCTTTAAGATTATGTTGATGTCTGATATGCAGTTGCCATATAACGTATTCAGTGTTCTTGAAGGTATATTGCTCATGTTGATCTTAAGGTTTGAAGCAGAATTTAAGATTCCTACAGTAATAAGCAAAATTATTTTCCAACCTAGATTAGGAATAAATCCTGCAATTACTGCAGGAAATGTTTTCCTAGAGCATGGCTCAGAACTGTGAATTATCCCAAGCGACTGTGTTGGAAGTTGCTAATATCTGCTACTGAGCACATATGATTGACTTTCAGAAAGAAGTGCTATTTTTATTTTGGTCATAAAAGTGAAACCAGGTGTTTAACATTAAATGAAACACTATGAGTCAATGAAACAATAAAAGTTGACTATCATTTCCTCTTTCTCATATTCTTCGTGTGAAGAGGAAGTGGTTATGATTGGAAAGTGTCACCAACACAGGACGTCCAACCACCATCGTGGTCGGCTGCTGCCTCAGAACACAAGTAAGGACTCCATTTGTTCCAAATAAATTAGGCAACTACTTTTTACGTGGAGGGTAGTTCTTAGAATTTTTCTGAGTATATTTGAAAAATTAAAATTTCCTAAGTGTTACATAATCATCTTTCATTTAAAAATGAAGATTCAAATATGAATTATAGATGGCAGTTTGCTTGATGGAATCTTATACACTCATATATACTTTGATTCTTAAATATATATTTTATGATAAATGTAACAGATGTATCAATGAATGATAAACTTTGTCATTTATATTTATGTTTTCAAAGTCTTATAAATTTTCATTCAACATCAAAGAACCAAATATTTATTTCTTGGTCTAAGCATAAACTAATGCCACATATCAAGTAGTTGTAACAGTGTTCTCACAGAATGTAGTAGTTGTCATGGTGAATGGTAGCGTACAACACAGTAGAAGCATCCTTTGCTGAGGTATGCATTTCTTTAGCGTTATGTCTCTTTATCAGTTTCTTAATGCCATATTTTTATGATAAAACCTCTGAGAAATGACTGAGTATATTATTTCTGAAGCCCATTCTGAAAGAATATTGTTATAGTGAAAACTTGAAGTTCACCACAAAGCTAAAGGAATTATTGTTTAGAAATGCTAATGAATTATATTTACTGAGGAAGCACTAATATTAGTCACCCAAGTGCTAACAAGCCAGGAGGGAAGGTGGGAAAGCCCAGATGATCAGGCTGTGGCAAAGAGGAGTGAGCAGCATGGACCACAGTAAAGGGCTGCAGAAAACTGTTCACCGAGAATGTCAGCAGGTGGGTCAGAAGTGGGCAGAGTGTGTGAGAAAAAGTAAAATGGAAAGCAAAATACTGACGTAGTCTGAGAAAGCAAAGTATATTTCCTGACCACACACAGACTTAAAAGGGCCAATCAGAGTATTCAAAAAATGATGTCCATAACAAAAGACTGTGTTGTTGCTTACAGAGGAGATCAGTATGTGTCCACAGTTTAAAGGGGAATTGAAGCCTCACAGTGGTTCGGAATCAGTGTTTGGCCTACTGTACTATAAAGAGTAAATTCTAAAGCATGGCTTTTGTCTGTCTATTTCTTTTTAGAGCTGGAAATGTAGGCATTCAATGAGTAATACCCGGTTTATTCATGAATAAAGACTCTAAGACAAAAAGAGTAATGTGACATTCCTGCTAAACAGAATGTAGAGTCGAATAATGCTTACAGGCAAGGAGAATAGACAAGATCTAATATTATAAGAATTGTCTTGACCAGTCCTATGACATTTTTAGCCCTCAACTTAGAAAAAAGCCCACATAAAGAGCACTAATTTTAAATCGATTCTCTTTTATAGATCTTTGTTCCTCTCCACCCCAGTCAATGACAAAGTATATGCAATCAGAATGAACAATAGAGTGACTCCTTTTGTCTGGTCGAAGTGAGTCTAGGTTTTTTCAAAGGCAACTTCAGGAAGCATAGTACTTTAAGAGATCAGTGAGCGTTTTCTTGAATTTCTAATCTTCCAATTCAAATGGTTTTCAGTCAAGGCCTTGAGATTCTAAAGCTAATTTTACACCAATGATTTGCCAAGGAAGCAGTCTAGAAAATGTCATTATTGTATGGTCAACAATATATGTCAAACAGACTATGAAATTTCCTCTTTGTTGTAGGACAGCATATTACAGAATATATTTGCTATATGTAACATATAACACATATTATATGTGACAGAATAATATATGTAGTACAACATATATTATCATAGGTTTAATGTAGCCCGGTCAACTGAAATACAGCCTAACAAAGATGGGCATCAAGTTTATATATATGCTATTCTTGTGATGAGCAGTGCTGCTATTTCTGGACCCTAATTCTCCCTTGATACCATAAGTAGAAGTCACAGAGTTATGGAGAGTGTTCATAGGTGATTCAGTTAACATGATTTTTTTTTTTTTAATCTGGGATTCAACTCACTACCTAACACTTGCCAGACAGATGCTTCCACCTCTGAGCTAGGTCTCCAGCCCAACCATGAATGTTTGACACTTTTTTCATTTGTTGAATTAAATTTATCAATGGTAATGAGTCATTAAGATAGGATAAGTAGGGTGGAGGATATAGCTCAGTAGTAGAGACTGCCTTTCAAGGAAGAGGTCCTGAGTTTGGTCCCAGTATATAAAAAATATAATATAATATTAATATATATATATATATATATATATATATATATATATATAATATTTGTGTGCATGTGTGTATGTATGCTTAAAAGTTTCAAATTTCTCTTGCTTGGCAAAAGAATATCAGAATTTCTTTCAGAGATTGGACTTTGGCAGAGGACTTGATGAATGAGAACAAGGCCACAAACTTTTTATTTGATGAGTCTTTATGACTCATTAAGAACAAATTCTCTGTTCTAGAGGATCTCATGTCTGCAGTAGCAATACCATGATCTGAAATTTAACCACTCTGTTACTTCTAGAGTGCAGAGGTCCTTTAGGACAGTTATTGGTCATTAACAATTCTCAGCAAGGATACTTAGCAGCAGCTTGTTCTTAGACGTCTTCCCATGAGATCACTACAAGCAGGGTTTGTGTACTATTACTGTAATATATTTCACTGCAATTATGTTAAAGAACTTCTATGACCATGTGTTTACATGTCTACTTCCACTGTAGACAATGAACTCATTAAAAAGAGCCTGTATCATAGGGATCATGATATTTTTATCTCAAAGGACAATTCCTGCCAAATGGTATCCATTCAAACATTATTAACAATCATATGAAACTAAATTTTCATTTAAGTGAATTTATCTTTAGAATTATTTTCTTTCTTTGAAGGGGTGATCAGTGTTTTCCTTAGGGATAGCATTGGTTAGAAGAGTATTATTTATAAGATATTGAAGCACTTGAATTTGAATATAACAAATGATATACATGTAAAAATACGATCCCAATATTGTACTCAGACTTTACAGATACTACTTGGAACAAATACATATATAAATAAAGTCATTTTCAAGCCTGTTTTTGATAAAATTGCACAAAATGTGTAGGATAAAAGGCAGTAGAGATTGACAGTAATAAATCCAATATATGAAGCCAAACTTGAACCAGTAAAAGCAAAAGTATGTTATTAACATCTGCTTAGTCAAATCAGTATGTGAGGAAGATAAAAGATGTTTTGGATCTTAGCAAGGTGACGATAGAAAAAGAGATGAGATATATTTTAAAAATGGGAAGCAAAAAATTACATGAAGAACTCTTAAAAATATAGATTTAACTGAGGACTCTTGGCTTATTGCTAAAAAGCAGATTATAAAATAGGAGAATTACTGTGAAGATGAATGATAAGTTGGCTGCATCAACCTACATCAATCTGAACCACAATAAACTTCCTATTAGCTATAGTTATAATCAAAAGGCATTTAAGTCAATGCCTTACACAGCTACAGTATTCAAGTATTTTTTAAATAAATTGATTTTCTTGAGAGAAAAACAAATTTGACTTCTAACAATTGTTCTTCTGCCTCCATCGGTTTTATCATGTTGTATCTTATTGGATTTTATTATATGTGATACTATGAACAAATTTTTTATAGACAAGGAGATAATATAGTAACCATTGTCCATTTTGTGTTAGTTGGTTGTAAATACCCTGTAATACTTTCTTGAATGTTGTTATATTTGGTACTATAGTGTGTGAAGGTATACTCAAATATTTCAAGGCATGAGACACTATAATAGCTACTGTTATGTGCGGTTGTCTTGTGGTGAAACACTATGTTGCTTAAATTGTTCTGTTCTGATGTTTTGTTATATCCTTTTTATCTAAATCTTTTAAAATAAAAAAGTTAAAATTTAAGAATGTTCTCTCTTAGATGATACCTTATATTTCTATATTAATAGTTTGACTTAATTTTCAGAGCATCCTTATGAGGAAGCTACAATGGTTAACTTTGTTTTTAAATTAAGAAAAAGATAAATAACTAGTAGATGAGAAACTGGAATTAAAATCTGGGTCTGTCCCACTGCTCTGCTGAATGCCAAGTAATACTTATACCCTATCTTCTGTTACACGCTTTCCAAATATGTACAACTCATTTGGTGTATCTGGGTTTTTCTCTTTTTCTTATTCTAAAGTTCTTCATCCTGTATCTTTAAACCATCATATCATTTAACTGCCTTTTCTTCCAAGACTGAGGCTTTTCTTCTCATTTTTGTCTCGTGACTGAGACTGTTATTCTGGAGCTCAGCTCTGGAAGTGAGATGCCTGCTTTTCTCTTCCTTGCTTAGGGAGATGAGGTTTACTCTTCTGCCGGATGGGTTGCTGTTTCCTAATCCCTATCATGTGCAAAGACCTGAGTCTAACTTTTATTTTTTTCTAACGGTGAATTAAGAATGGATGGTTTCTGAGATGATAATAGGTGAACAGTGTCAGTGCCAAAGAATGGCTAAAAGATGTAGTTCCTTTTAAATTTTCAGAGCTGAGTCTGTAAGTTAAATGTTCCTATTGTCAGCAAACAACTCCAAGATAATCTCCTTTCACTCAGCATGCTTTTAAATTTTGTTTCTTTTTACATCTAAGCTATTCCTACACCAAAATTTGAAGCTTCTGTTAAAATCATCCTTATTTACAGACCTATATTATTCTCAGCTCTTACAACATTCATATATCAGGTACACTTTAGGAGTTAAAGCCACAATAAAGGAAAATAGTATGATCCATTTCACTTA